CACAGAGATTTTTGTAATGTTTTCTAACAGCATCCTGAAGGCAGATTATTAATGTAATCTAAACATCACTTAGTTTATATTCTGGATTTATGCCTGTATACCTAAAATCAGAACTTGGCCACTGTGCATTCTGTGTCTAAAGAGAACAATAAAAAAATCAGGAGACTGAATTTTTTCTCTTTTTTCTACAAAGTTGGAAGGTGGGGGAGGGAGTTGAAATTGCTCTCACAGACAGACTACCCTAGCAAAGAAGCAGGAAAAATGGAGTCCATTTGGTCTGGCTTGTTTCATTGTACGTATCCAAATTCCTTCTTGAAAGGCTAAGACTTTTACTCTGCTATCAATAACACATACCTACAGTTTAAGGATTAGGCACTGTCCAGAGAAATGTCTCTTTTGCCTTTGCTCTAAATCAGGTCATGATTTCACCCTGTTTGCATTATGTAAATCAGTAAAAATAGATCTTTAGAACTTAACCTTGCCCCTGCTCCAGGGAGATTTTTGCCTACACTAGGACAGCAAAACATAACTACACACTGACTCCTTCTGCATCACTTCTGACTGTGCGCAAGTCTGGATCCTGCTCTCACAAAACTTCCATTAGTTTCACCAAGGGCATGAATGTGGCACATATGTAGAACACAATCCATGGGACTTGCTGCTACAACAAAGCTCAGTCAGGGGTTTGCTGAAAAGCCTGGGCAAGAAATTTCACAACTGAGTGAAAGACATTTCAGCTCGGACATACCTTTCAAATCCTGCTGCATGTTTCCTCCTTTCTGGGAAAGTCGCTGGGAAGGGAGTCACTCTCTTCTCCATTGCCCTTGGAACTTTAGTTAGTATTGCTTTGGTTTATTTCAAAAGAAGCTATTAAAAAGCAAATAAAGTGTCTCGTGAGACACTCTAGAGAGAAAAAACAGGGCAACACAGGAAAAAATGCTGTGAATTGAAATTTAAAAATGAAAATAAAAGTATAGGTGAGGTATTTCTCCATGTAATTTCTTCCAGGATTCTATTTCTCCATTTGTTTTTTCTGTGATGTCTGTGACTTGCCATTCATATTCCATCCCTAGGCTTGGAAATTGCTGTCCATCAAGTGAAAGGTGAAGAAAAAGACAAAAAAAAGTACAACAGTGTGGGGAAGACATGAAGGGATGCAGGGAGGAGATTTATTGAGTGTAAAGATGTCCAAAGGAGATGGAAATGTGTTCCCCAAGGCCATGATCTTCGATGGTGCTGCTTGTATTTTCAGGCTGTAGCGTAGCAGATGTATGAGAAGAGCCAGACTTCACATGCTACAGTAAGTGCAAAATCTCAAAATGCAGATGCCATCACATCAAGGGTTTCTTTGTCCCCTGACAAAGTCTGCCCACAGTGGTTCTCTAGAAACAGTTCTATTATCAAGTAGACATCCATTGCTTTTTTGTTGTTTTTTTTTCTATTTTTTTATTTAAAAAGTAGTTTTTCTAATAATACATAGAATATATAAATAATAATAATAATTAAAAAAACTATTTGGGTTTACTTTCTGTTCTCCAACCCATCTGTATTTTTTGTGGTTTGCTGATATATATATTAAAAGACAAGAAAATCAACTCTGCTCACTATTAAAAAAAATATTAAATCCACTTTTTATGTTTCAAAAGAGAAAGAGGAGGGGAGATGTAATAAAACCAAATTAAAATGAAAAAAAGGAAAAAGAAAAAATCAAAACAGGAAAATCAAAAACCTTCTGTCTCTTCAAAGTAGTTGTCAAGAGAGATTTAAATGCTTGTGCTTTCGTGCTTTCAGTGTACATCCCACAGGGAAAACATAACCAAAAAAAAAAAAAAAAAACCAAAAAAACCAACGAAACAAAAAAAACCAAACCAAATCACCACCATTTT